TTTTCTGTGCGGACTCGTATGTAAGCATAGAAAAGTAAAAATATTAGACCCTCATTTCACTATAAATTTGCATGTATTAAATTATTTGAATCATTTCTAGATGTCTAACTAAACTATTAGGAGATACCGTGGCTCCAGATACGAAAAAAATATATAATAAAACACCGTTGTAAACAATAATACCTTCTCAGCTTTGCATCGCAGCTAAACATTTTAGAAATAGTAATATAAAAACAACCGTTTTAATATATTAAAAATGTAACAACTCAGATTAGGTTTGTTATACTTAATAGTGGACGTCATTAAGTCGTAATAATGACGTTGAGAATGTAATTCTATACGTTATAAATATTGTACCAACCGCTAAATAGAATTATACAAATTATTTTTTTATATTTTTATCAAAACTCATTTGCATTTTACCGACAAACAAATCTATTTAATAAGCTGATTCATTATAAAACACATTTAAACGAATTTTCAGACAGTTATGCAACAAGATTAACTTAGATATACCATAGTGCAATAATCGATGCAGGTATATTAAAAAAAACTTATACGATAGAAGAAAAAGAGGGAAATACAATTTGATTCCGAATAACTTAATTTTTTTTTAGGTACAGTTGTACAGTCACTTCTGTTGAATGTTGTGGGCGGTACCTAGGGATGTCTTTTAAAAAAACAATTTAATTACATTACGATTCGTATAATATTCAAAGTTAATATATATTTTATTATGTGTCATACCTGTAACTCATGCCGCACGTGTATTTATAATTTGTTATCCTTTTTTTCTGAATATGTAGAGGCGATACACCCACTGCCCTCTCCTCATTTCCCCTTCGGACACGTTTATCAATCATATTTTACAGTGTATGTACAAGATACACTATTATCTTGTTTAAAATATACTGATAATATACACCGTACAAAACACAACCCGGCAACTTTTTTGTCGTTATTAATTATTTCAAGGGAGAATGTATACATATTTAACAAATCCCATCTGGCCGGGAGCACTTGCAGGTGTTCACGATATAACTAAAAAACCCATGACATAAAATTAGTATAGGATAAATTGTATTGTACATAATTTGTAAATAGTTTTTAAAATTTTTTTTTTTTCAAGTCTAATAAAACATGTTTAGATTCAGCCAAAATGACACCTAAGTATACGGGGTGATGTGAGACACTTGTTTTCTCGATTTATTATAGAAAATATTTGATTTCAACGCAATTGAGTTTTGTTGCTTTACAATATAAATTTAAATTGTCCGTCCCTTATTTTCGAGACGACCGATTAAAAAAGTAGGTATAGCAGTTAATTGGCGGATTATTTGATGTCTAAATCATAATTGTTTTATCACCTAACGCCTCACAAGGGAAGAGGAACCATCTTCTTTATAAAATTATTTTTCAGACCATTGTGTTGTAGAATGTCTGCAGTCGTATAAAATGTTAGGTGAATGAATTCCACTATAAACTGTTATTGAATTTCAAACTGTATATAAATTCGTGCTCTATAGTGCCATTACGCGGTGTATATGCGAACGAAAATGCTTTGCAGATATTTTTGCCACACGAATAATAATACAGTTTCCGACCAAGTGGTTTTCAAAGTTTAAACTTTTCTAAACTAACCGTTTCGTCCCGGAAACGGTGTACAGTAAGTATTTATATGTGTACACGCAAGAGGAGATAAACAAAAATCGCTTTGCCGCAATACCCTTTTTGCAAAAAACCCTATTAGTAGGTCGTTATTTTCAAATCATTGGTTCGGAATTGAATTGCGATACTCGATATAAAAGATTCCAAAAAAAATAATGTGATCGATATAGTCCGAGGGACGCGTGCATTAAAGTAGAATAATAAAAAAAAAACTTTTAATCTAAAACCAAGTGATGACTCGTAGTAAAAAAAATTAATATTAACATTATATTAAACGAAATTCCTCGAAATCAGACGTTTACTGCTTGAAAACAGTACAATTTTGTATGTCGATGCCCATTTATCCCCTCCGGAGCCATATGTATTTTAGTGTAAAAAAAACTTTTATTTTCTTACTTGAACCCTTTAATCATCATATTTTCGAAATTTATTTTTAAACATATTTATATTAAAACTATCAAGTTCTTTTTACGGCTATTCGTTATTTCGTTATAAGCAATTAAAAATTGGATTATTGCAACAACCCGTGGGTCTAAAAGGGTTAGATTAATACACCATCAGTTATATAACATCGTATTGTTTTGTTAATTAATAACGAAAAATGTCAAGTTATTTTGTAGTTGTAAGTTTTGGAGTTTCCTCCAAATTTTGAAAAATAACCGAACTATGGTCATTTTAGCGGTTTTGTACCTTTGGATAGTTTTTCTAAAGCGTACTTCAATAGGGGGTTTTGTCCTATTGTTTTTGCTGAATTCAAAATTGGTCTCAGAATTAGCAAAGAAATGTCTAACCAAAAAACCTAACCGAATCTGGCCTCAGATTTTCGTTAGCGCGGCAATTTGTTTTTTAAATCACTTACTCTAAAGTTGTAAACAACTTACAATGCAAAAATCTGAATTTTTATCATTTTTGTTTGTATTAAAAAAAAAAAACCTTTTAAATCGATAAAAATTCTGAACTTTAAATGTAGCAAAAAAAAAAAAACTTTAAAGCTTTAAAAATAAATTCTAGACAATAGAACATTTCGGTTTTTGTTCTTGAGAATCAGCTTCCGGGACCCAAATGATAATAGCGTCATCAATAAAAGTTGGATGTAATAATTACATATACCTATTGTTCGCGCAATAAGTAAATACGGTGTTAATGTTTTACCTAGCCGAATTTAAAGTCGTAATTTGTGACCGCAAATACAACCTTCATAATACCTACAAATAAAAAATACCTAAAAACTGATTACAAACGAGTTGGTATGGTGCTATGGTATTAAACACAATAACCGTTGTGCAACAGACTAATAATTGTTAACATTGAAAACGGTGCCAGACCTCATTATACTTAATCTTCCGCGTGTCCGTCGGCCATTAGGTACTTGATAAAAAAATGTTCAATGTGAATTTCGCCGACTCATAAATCATAATATCGTTTTTTTTTTATTTTATTCATAATTATTTTAATTTCATCAGTGCATTACTCTTATTGTATTGTGTTGTGGGTACGCATTAATTGACGGTCCACGATAGTGACCTTTTATAACAACACACCTGTTTTAATTTTTGTGCCCGCTATATTAATCTGTTACTACTCAGCAGAGATGATTATTATTCGAATACATTTTTTTTTCTTTTTTAAATACACTAAATAATAATTAACCACTTGCTAACCAATTAAAACTTAATTAAATGATTATTATTAATAGTATAATATTCTAATAGCTTAACGATTTTGAAAAAAAAACTCAAGTGAATAAGAAACATTTAAAAGATTAACTACAACAAATCTTGACTCAATTTATTATTATATAGTATGATATTGTGATACTCTAAACGACTTTTAAATTGTAAACGTTTTTGAACACACGTTATTGTTCATGGAACGAAACGTTTATATCTTTTTAAAGGCATAACCTAACTTTAAAATGTTTTTTTTTTGTTTTAAGAGTTCAAAATCAGAATATTGTACAATAAATCATTTGTTCAACACTTGTTCTAAATATAACAAATAATATAAATTTTTCATCATTATGAAAAATTATCTCACAAAAATGAATGCCATTAAAATGTTGAAACCCTTTTTATACATAATCAGTAATTACGAATAAACATTTTGTATTTATGAGTAATTGTATACGTTAGTAAATGTTACATTTTAAATCATGAATAATTTTATTAGTAAATAAAGTTATATTTAGGTCAGGTTATAGGTCAGGCGACTAGTCTATTGGTCTCCTTATGTCTGTACAATTTTATTTTTTGAAGAAGAAAATTTGTCTGCATGATTAATTTTGAAAAACTACTTATGTTCTCGAAAACTGTGCGGTATATAACCCGTTTACCCTAGTGCACACGTGACCCAAATACACTCTTGAAAGGAAGTGAAGGTTTTCAGACGGTTCGTTAAGCTTACAATAGTATAGGATTAACTGTTGTACGATGTGTCCTTTAACGCCATGAATTATATAATATTATGTTTATATATATCATACACAAACGGGGTAATGATAGAATTGTCCAAGTTGTTCCCTCCTCCGTGAAACGCTTACAATATGGACCTCTATTAAAGGGAATTAATAACATGACGTATACTTACTTATGTCTTTTAGAAAAAAAGTATGCCTTGTAATTTCCTCCCTTGTCACTCTACACACGCGGTCCGGCGCCATCTTTCATTTCTTTTACAATGGTTATTATTGCCCTAGCCATTTTCTTAGCGCTTATGATTATTAATAATTAATATGACAGAGAATGTCTTATTTAGTGACCAAACCAAACGTCCTATAACGAACAATTTTTTTTTAGTTTTATAGACTTTTTGCTAAGGGAATTGCCACAACCCAAATGAGATAAAACCGTTCGAGATAGATATGCACGTAGGTTGGACATCTCAATGCATTACCGTGGTGTTTATGTTTCAACCATACCATGTGGCCTCAAGTTTCTCCTCTTTTAAGTTTTAATAGAGTTCAGTTTTCGATAACAGTTTTCCATATTGACAGGAAAACTTCGAATTTGTTTAGCATTTCGTGTTCAACGACTTAGCTATAAATTTAGGAGAGATTGCATGACTGCGTTTTTAGTTAAACAATTATAAAAAGCTTTATAAATATAATTCAACGGGAGTGTCAATACATAAGTATTACCCGAACTATACTAGATACTTGTCTGTTAGCTAAATATTTTTTTTTTTTTTTTTTTTCGAGGATTTTTTAGCGGGAGATTTATCCTATACACATTAATTCACACTTAACGACTTTTCGGTACACCCAACCCCTCCCTCTGATGTGTCTCGTCAACGCCAAGCTAACGTTACCCATAATATGTTGTGTCGTATTTCAGGTGCCCTACGAGGAGACGTCGTGCCTGGTGGAGGTGGACTGGGAAAACGGTTTTGTCGAGACGTCCGCCAAGGACAACATAAATGTCGGCGAGGTGTTCAGAGAGTTGTTGAACCAGGCCAAGTCTAAGTACGACCTCGGACCGTCGCTGAGGAGGAACTCGGCTCGCCGACAGTCTTTGCCTTCGGGAGGCGGCGGCCAGGGGACTATGGTGCCCACGCCGGCACAGCTGGCGCACTTGCAGAAGAAGGCGAGGCGGCGGCGGCGGCGGCGGAGATGGAGGAAGCGGCAGGTCCAAGCGCAACTCGTGTTCAATATCGTAATGCCCGCAGAACAACACCTGCAACTCACCGCCGCCATCCGCTCCTCCTGCTCCTCCTCCTCCTCCTCCTCCTCCTCCGCCCCTCGGTGAAATTTAAACGCATACACGATCTTTAGAATTTTAAAACGCAGTAGGTATATTTTACTATGAAATAATTGTTTAGGGGAATACGTTTTACGTAAAATGTTTATTATATTAAACAGTTATGGTGATTTATATTTTAAATAACATTTACTTATATAAAGTACTTTTGGAGGATAAACATCTAAACGACGACATATGTAATAGCATAAAAAGCAGAATTTCACGGTAGAAACAATGACAGTTCGATAACACGTTTTGGATAAATACTTCTCGTGTCATTACCATATATATGTAATACAGTTTACTATCTGACTATAAAAAGTTATACTCCTAAACTGCTATTTGTATAATACATTGAGTATAATTAGCATATAATAATATTTTGTACGATAGGTACGACGATGGATTTGTATAATATGACATAAAACGACGGTTTAATGTAATAAAGATTTTAATTAGGATTTTTTACCTAAAAAAATTGTTTCATAGAGAATAATAATTACTGTGTTATAAAATGTTAAAGACACTGCGTTTATATACACGTATAGGTATGTGCATACCTAACACTGTCACACTACTGTCACATTTTACCATCTTTATTATACTATATTGTTATTATATATCTATCTCTGCGCAAAGATTACTTGTCAAATGTGTACTGCGTACATTTTGAAAAACATACGCTTTATCATCCAACACATTGAAAGAAAAATAAACAATGCAATGCACTTTTAAACGTAAGTGATATTAACTTTTTTAGTAAAACAACTCGTTTAGACCCAAGTGACAAATGTATGCATGCATTAGCATTAGTGTACAGATATTATACATAATCGGTTGACTATTTCTTCCCGTTTTATTTATTGTACATAAATAATTATATGTAAAATAACTCATACTATTTCGAAAGTAAGTCCATTCTGATAGAAATAATTTATAATTACGCATTAACTCGTTTTATTTTTGAATTTTGATTGACGTGTTTTGTAAAGATACGTGACAAAAAAAACAAAACTTCGGATTTTTTAATGTTTTATCAAACTGTAGCGAAAGTTTGGAAAATTGCAACAGATCGCATTAAATCTGTGGCCAAATAATGTTAACTACGGTTTGTTGTCCATTCAAATTTTCCAAATTAAGGTACCAAATCTGATTTGTCTTTGGACAGCGGTAACCGTCGCGCAGTTATGTTAACATATTTTAATCAAACAAATAGTATAAATTATTATTATATATTACATAATATATATTGTATTATTATTTAAGTTTAAGATTGCATTATTATTAATATAAGTTTTCAAATCTTCAACAAAATCCGACAAAATACAAACATTTATGTGTACCATAATATATTATATAATATGTATTCGTCTGTCTCTTATATTAATTGTAACACTTTATTAAATTGTGTGCAAGCAAACGATTCAATAAACAAAAATGTATAATCATAATTTTTCGTTGTAAGTTAATTGATCCGCCGAATTGAAGAAATTGACAAAATGTTTGGTTCAACTGCTTACAACCCCAAAAATGGGTTCTTTCGACAATTTTTAAGCACATTTTATTCTATAGTTACTAAAAAGTAATATTGTTAATTTAGGTTTATAATTTCTGGAGTTTCAGTTTGTAAATAATTAATAATGAGTTTTTTTTGGTGTGAAATTAATAATGGGTCTCAATATTTACCAGGTGCATATAAGTTACTACTCTTGTTACTAAAACTATATTCAAATTTCAAAACACAAATGAATAAAAATATTAGTCTAACAATATACTACGACTATTGTTTAGTTCAATTTGTTTTTTGTGCCGTGTTTTTAAATTGCCAATTCGCCTAAGTGTAGTTACTAATTACTTTAGTGATGATGTATTAATGAGGACTTACGGAGCGATAACCAAACAACTACAGTGGTAACCTTTAAAGCCCGGTTAAGATAAAGAACTATTGATTCTGCGCTAAAACTAATCGTATTAAATATATTTGTCATGTTGTCGATTCCTAAACGTCATTTGTAAAAAGATACGAAATAAAAATAAAGTCAAACTGAAAAACGAATAGCATTTGTCGTACCATATTTTTTACAACTGCATTATTATTTTTATTCAATGGTTTTTTTTCTTTCCAAAAGAGCACTTCGACTTTTCTTTTGAGTTTTTGAAATACATCTTCTGAACTGTTTTACATCAGCTAAACTCAATAGTAAAGAGAACTTTTCAAACCTTTATTTTTTTTAACAAAACTTTTTCTTGGTTCTTACCAGTTATCGTTTACCACTAAGTCCAGGGCCAACAGATAGAGTTAAAAATACGTTCTTTTATATCCGTAAATCATACAATGTCAATATTATGCGTTATACTATACTATATTATTGGTCAACCTCGGCACGAGGCAACAACTCTAAACGGGATGGATTATAATTTATATTATATCATACTATTTAACGGTCGCGTTTGAACAGTAATAGTTTAGGTCCATCCGGATTATTTATTATATCCTAGAAAGTTTGGCACCCGAGCAGTGTGCATATAAAACTTTATAAATCGCAGATTAATAGTAAATAGCTGGCCCGAGTTTATGTGTATCCAAGTAGATACCCACTTAAATCCCGTACAATATAATATAAATCCTTTCCTTGACACGGGTAAACCGTATGCGTATAGCGGGGACAGCTATAAAAAACCCTCGCTCACATATTATTATTATACTTACTTTCAAAACGTATCTTCTTATAGAACCAAGCGGGGCCATTAAAGAGGAGGGGGAAGGGCACACACATTAGGGCTGCCCTCCAAGGTACCTGAGCGAGACATTTTTTTTCTTTATCCTATTTTCCAATGTCACTCTCCACCGCATTAGGGTCTAAGCTTTAAAACGTATTATCGAAAAGCCTCGACGACAAAGAAAAAAAAAAATTGTTTTCGAAGCCTATAAAATTATACACTAGTTTTAATGCTCTCTTAGGTATACATTTATTAATTCTCAAAAGTACAGGCAAGAGGTTTTTGGATTCAAGTCACAATTAGCGGACACTTAAAAACTATAAACATACAGGGTTTTAAACATTTTTTCATGTAAAATATGTTTTTGCGAAATTTAAAAAAAAGTCATAATATTATAATAGTTACATGATTAAAAATCATTTTTCTAGTTCAAGTTAAAAAAATGATTTCAAAAATATAATTTTAAGGGGCAACATAAATAAATAATATTTGGTTTGCCTAATAAAATCAAAATGATAATTTAATGAAAATAATGATTTGCCAATAACAATTTTCCATTAAATTGTTTGTAAGTTTTTAGCGGTATAGGCTGGAGGTGAGGTAGACTGTAAAGTTATTTGTATGTCCAGGAAACATTCACCCTTACTTCTTACATCATTTATTATAATAACGGTTTTATTTTAACACCTTTTTAGTTAGGCCAATTATTTCAGAGCAAGATTACTGTACCGTAAAATTATAATAACTCAGTATGTAGCTGTAAAACAAATATAACAAATAGGTATATAACAAAAATAGTAAATCGTTTGCATTGGAAATACCTACTATTTTTTTTTAAATTAAATTAAATTAATATAACAGGAAGTTTGTTTTACAAAAAAAGCTTATGAATTTAATGGTACATTATTTTTGAATGCCAAATTTTATCAATAACTCATGCTACATAAAAAACATAACACTATAAATTAAGACACATTTACGATTTTAAAAATATATTTTTGCATGTGGAACTAAATTTAAAAAAAATTATAATAAATTAATACATTATTATACCTATGAGTATTGAGTATTAATACATTTTCCTTCGAATAATGTCGTTTTTAATAAGTGATTTTTTACAGTTTTAAGTTAAGTAATTATATTACCATAATAAGGCAATTATAACAAAATAGGGTTGGTTGTTTTATTTTCGATGACAGGCTAATATTATTAGCATAATATCAAAAAAACACATCATTATAATATTATTATAATGATGTGTTTTTTGTCGTAAATACGATATTTTTTTTTTTAATAATGTCGTTGGAAAGATCAAATAAACAAATATTATATTTATATTTCAATCAATACAAACGAATTGATTTGTTTTAGGTAGTTCATAGTTGTCGTTCTTTAATTAAAAATGTGTCGAAGATGTGTTGAACATCAATATAGATTTTACATCCAATGCTACTTTATCAATTTTTAGCTTAGTAAACTGAAGTCAAGTTGTCCTCTTGCTCTCATGAAGTATATTTTTTTTACCTTTATTCATTATTTTTTAATATAAAATGGAATTCTGTAGATGACCAAACAGGAAGGCATGCGCCAGTATAATATGACGTACAAGCTACTACGTCGTATATGCACTGCTACCTAGAAGTGTAATCACTGATCAATATGAAAAATCCTAAGCTATTGACATATAGTTTATCAGGTAAAATAATATATTTATTTTATAAGCAAGAATGCGTTAATTTATTAACGTCTAACTCACATAATAACAATGTTAAGTACACACGGAGAATTCAGTAAAAAAAATTGAACAATTGACGAATAAGCAAACTTAAATCGGTGTACCCAACCTCCCAACACAATAACTTCATTAAATTATACAGAGTCATTTCCTACTTTATTATATAAGACAAGATATAATACAGTACAATATTATCTCGATTATTTGTCTTATATCAACGCCGAATCGGTTAATTAAGAGCCGTTAAGCAACGCGGATATAATTAGTTTTGATAATAATTATTATTATATCTAAAGTGTGTTTACTATAATATTTTCATGATGTGCGTTATTATTATTTATTATATATTATTAATATTGCGTTTTTTTTTTTTTTGACATAATATTGTCGGACGTCACGTAAGCCTTGTAAACCTGTAAAAAAAAAAAAAAAATGTACACCATCAATACCATGACATTATATTTGTATACAAGCCGTGTAACGACTTATTATTCAGTCGATACATTATAGACACTAAAATAATCACAATAATTATAGCAACAAGTACACCTTACAGTACTTAGGTATCGACCCCGGAAACGGTCCACTTGACTAATGCTAATGTCATTTGTCATTGAACTTTGTCATTCAGTCATCCATCAAGTGTGTTTTTAAAAATTCCCTTAAAAAAACCGTTTACGATTAATTACAGTGTTGTTAAGAAACGACATTCAAAGCAACGATTTCCAATATTTTTAGCTTCGACGCGGAAATGAGAAGTTATTGTTTTTTTCCCTACTATTTGTGACTCGTCCAACGACATATCCTAAAACCGCCGAGCCGATTTATCCATGTAGCAAGTCTGTATATCAGGAATCGTACATGAAAGGTGCTTTATTGGGCCAGCGATTTAAACAGTTCATCCTTTGCCCTTTCAAAATTGAGCAAACGCTCTAAAATGTACATATTTTTCAAATTACCGTCCACTATAACTTTAAAAGAAAAAAAACAATATAGTTCCTAATATATGTATGGAATATTTTATAGCTACAGTAGTCAGTACTTTCAATATATGCCAAAAAAAAAATGGGTTTCTTATATAACTTTGTAAAGGCAATAGAAAATGACGAGGAATATATATATGTTTTCATCAGAGCTTAAAAATAATACACACGAATGGAACAAATTCATCTAGGCCCATTTTGGAAACGTGCATTTAGTTTTTGCACATTATTGAAAATGTAAGTTTTAACTAGGTTTGATCAATGAATAATTAGTAATTTAAAATGTACGATTTAATAATTAAAAGTCAAGTGTGACCAGAAAAAAACACTATTTAGTTTTAGAACCTACGTATAAAAAAAGCACACGTTGTGAAAAAAAAAGTTTGGCTCATAAAATAGATTATTTTCGAAACTATGTTATTGTCAATTTTTTTTTTTTTAGGAATCTGTTAAAAATGTATGAAAATAATCGATTAAATTTATAGGAGTGAACGAAGTGTAAAAGGTGGCAAATGGGCGTTTTTATTTTATAAAAATAACGAGATAGGGAACTTATTCCTTCACAAAAGGAACGTTAACAACACTGTTTAATTGGCATTTGCGCTTTATGATTCCGAATGGAAATTAAAGCTAACAATATAATTATAATTAGTCCCCAATTATTTCTTAATAAAACAGTATGATTTGTTTAGAATCTATATTAATAATTTTCAAAGAAGGGTATAATAGGATTCGGGGTCGGTATTTTGAACGTTCCTAGGCAATCGATAATAAATATATACATATTTATATTATAGCGAGGCTATCCCATTTTCGTAGACTCTTTTATTTTCATCAGTCATGTTTGAAGAAGACGTCAAGTTGGACAAAGCTGTGCTAACAGGCAACATGGTTTTTAGTTGACTAATACATGAATACATGAACATCTTTCAAAAAGCTTGTTTTGTGTTCATTAAACGAAATGTTATTTTTGTACTTAATACATTTTTTTTAAAAAGAAAAATTTCTTACAATATTATAAATTATATATAAAATATCCAAAAGGACCTCTTCACAAGCATTTATTAAGGCGTATTGTATAGGCAATTTTTCGCTAAAACTTAACATTAAGCTACAATTTTTAAACATACATATTACCACAGGAAAGAAGGATCTATTTTGATAAATTTTTTTTCAACTTTTATAACGCATGCAGGATTTCTTTTGTACAAAAACACATGTTTCTACTTCGAACGTACTGTCCTTCAGAATACATAGATTTAAGTTTTTCAAAAACATTTGAATTCTTCACAACATTTTCGTCACTTTAACACCTTCCCAACTTCGCTGTAGATTAAAAAATAAATGATATAAAACAGGCATGACTCAAAATAGAACTTCATAAAAAGGTGCATTAATTTTATAATTGTTCATCGCCATACTTTTTTTATACCATACAACAACTAACATAAGTGTATCGTCATAATTTTTATTGTACAGTAGCATTTATTATTTTGCAAACAAATCATACATCGTCACGGCATATATTTTCTGCTCGTCAATTAGTCTTCAACAATAATAAATATAAAAAGAATAAAATTAACATTTAAACATGTGTGGATTATTATGGACCTATAATACTTAAAAAAACTTTCTCTTGTACTGTTTAGGAGCTATTTTTTTATGCAAGTTGAAGAAGTTTAAATTTTTAAAAAACGTCAGAGAGTATTTTCATGATTTAAAAATTTGGTGTTTTATGCACAATTTATTTAAATTATGTAATTGATAAATTACAGTACAATAACTTTATCGTCGGAGAATATTTGTTTTAATCAATATGAAACATCATAACTTGATATGATATAAAAAATTACACTTTTTTTACAGACATTAATTTTGTTAGTTATAATATTAAAGCTACAAGCTTACCTTTTAAAAAAGAAAAATGTTGGGACGACAAATATTTTGGTCATAAAGTAAACTAACAATCCAATTGTTTTTTTCATACAGTATTATGTACATAATTTATTAATTTCTTTACATTTTTTTTTTAATTTCTCATAGTTGGGAAGGGTTTAGATAGGTCTCTTGAGATGATGCGAATTGAAAACTTATTCGCATTTTTTTTGTTGGCAAATAATTTAATAGTACATAGGCATGATGTTAACTTGATATATTGGTTTTACAATACGGCACGCCCTGTGCACTTTTTTAAGTATATGTTTTTGTATAAATATAAATCAAAGAGTTGTTCATGTCTAACTGTTAAAATTAATTATAAACTACATTAATATTAATAAAATAACTTTTATTACCATAAGAATTATGAAAAATATAATAGTAAACCTACACTACAATAATCTTACTGTTATGAGTCATTAAGACATGTTTTTTCTTCAATTTTAACTTAAAAAAATAAAAGTTTATCCATAAATCAGTCGTAGGTATTTGTGTATAATTCAGAAACAAATACAAACAGCTCGTCATACGTTCGAGATGAGAAGGAGGAACATTAGTGTACTGATTCGGATTCAGTCGAATCCAATTTGGGTCGTTTACATTCGGCCACGTCTTCAGCCGATTCCTCTTCGTCATCAGATCGTGAACGCTTCTGATTTTGTTTTAACTTCACTATGATACACGTCATGTTGTCACAGCCAGTTCCGTCGCCGAATGTGTTGGGAGCCAAACATTCATCAAATAACTTTAAAAAAAATATATAAACATCATTTTAATTTTTATCTTTATTCAAACATTCAAGTACAAGTTTTGTTTAAGTTAGTTTTAAAAAATGTCATCTCTGTCACACAAAAACTGCCAGACTAACCTCTATTTACCTTTGAAGCTGGAAAAGGTATTAATTTTACGATGTAATAAGTTTTTTTTTTAGTGTGTATCTGAAGTTTGAACCCACTCAAATATTTACTTGATCAGCAACTCAATTGATCAGAAATCATACCCGTTTGTCACTCCCAAGGGTTAAGTTAAAGAACTTGACCCTTAAAATGGGAATAACCACCTTCAAAAAATTGCAATTTGTCCATCTTTTAACTTAAACTAAGAATTTGAACAGTGAAAAAAGGTTTTTTATTGAATCAAGATTTGGTATGGAACTATTATAAATTATTGTTTGATTGAGAAAAATGTTCAAAAGGGACTTGTCAAATTTGAATTTTCCATACAAATTTCAATTTATTCTGACCATTATCTGTTACATAAAGTAATTTAAATTTAAAAATGATTGTTTTTAGTGGTTTTAAAATTCCTAAATTAAGGATAAGTTAACTTTTTCAACTTTAACTCCTCTTCCCCCACCCAAGCATCAACTAGATACAATTTCTGATCGATAGAGTTGCTGAACAAGTTAAAGTTAACCAATATCAATTAAAAGTTACAGGAAAATTAACAAAAATACAGCTTCAAAATTATTATTTTCTTATAAATCAGTTATTCGAATTCAAAAAAATTATCTTTAACATTAATATAGTTTTATTCAAATTGTTTTTCATTTTTTATTAGACTTTTGTTTCTCAAACATTATCTAAATAACAATTATTCCTACAAATGGAACATCTTACGACTTTACGGCAGGCACTGCATTTGTATTTTAGCTACGAAAAATAAAACTCAATTCACATTGGCGGTCTTAGTCAGTCCAATCACGGTCAAGGATTATGATGTATCATTCACATTCACGGTCACAAACAATCAAATCTAGACCAAAATCTGGTGGTCGGCTCCACCAGTTGCCACCAGCTGTTGTGTCGAATCCCTGTCATGATGGCATTTTCAATGCGAACTGATGAAAATCGCATTAATTTTTTATGAAGAGGAAGAAATAAGAGACAGGAAACGGAGTAGACGGTTTTGGTTTCACCCATTGATACAGACTAACGCGTTGATTGATTCACACTAGGCAATCTCGATCAAAAAGTTTGTGACCGCCGGGGTCTGGATCATGTGTTGACTGATCATGACCAAACCCGACTGGTCCATGATCTGATTGCGACCAATATTGTGAACTGTTCCATTAGATTATGCACTACCGATTTTGACCGGATAGTTACCTTGATCGGACCAAACCGAGACCGCCAAATGTGAATAATTGAGCTTAAGTGTAACCAAACAATCAACAAGTTCCTTACTTCTTCACAAATCGACGACAGCTTTATATCTGGCTTATTGATACGTTTGTCCACAAATTCAATGACCTCTTGGCTAGTCAGCGAATTCCAAATACCATCACATGCAATAACCAAGAAGTTCTCACATTCTGACTTCAAATTCAAAACTTTTACGTCGGGCAACGCGGTGATCATTTGTTCTGTATTTGGCAATTCTTTATTTTTCTTATAGTTATGATCGCCTGTTAATAAAAATGAGTAATGTCGATAAATTTTCAAAAAACACAGTGAGCAAAAAAGTCCTAACCCAAACCCTAAAGTATGAAAAAATTGTATTACCGAGAGCTCTTGACAAATTTAATCCTCCGTTAACTCGTCCATCGTTCGATACAGTGCCTCCAGCAGCAAGAATCCTCTTAAGTTCTGGCTCGTCTTCGGGTTTATGATCTTCAGACATATCTTCAGCTCTACTGTTTACAGAAACAACGCACCTCGAATCGCCTGCGTTGGCCACGTAAAGTTTGTTGTTTACCAATAGAGCCAAAACTGCCGTACATCCACTGTCCTTGCCGGGCTAAAAAATATTACATGATTATATAAAAATATTTTATTCCAACAATTAATAACATTTGAGAAAATATTCCAAAGATATAAAAAAAATAAAATAAAGGGATTTAAATAAATAATGTGTTATCACTTGTCACCTAACATTAAGTTCCAAATGATTTTTAAAAATAAGATTTGCAAATAATTACTGCCATATTACAAAAACATGTTTAAAATTAAATTAATATTTAACACTTAACTAACCGGCACTGAATCCGGGAAAAACATTTTACTGAAATATAAAAATTTAAGTTTTTAATGTTTACTTTATAAAATCAAGTAAATGAACTAAGCCCCCATAGAAATGACTACACATAATCATTCATTGACAAACACATGTTTAAACCTAGCTATTTAAACATTTAAATGATGTTAACAGTTAGTGAATTATAATTACATAAAATTATGATGTAGTACATTAACAAAATACTCAAATTTACTTAAGAAGTAGATTATTAGATATATGATATAAATAAAATTGTATTTAATTTAAAAAATTCTAATTTAATTTAAACAAAAAGCTAGCTTGGTCACGTAATAAGGGCCAAATCAATAACAAACAATGTTCTAAACTGACCCCACGGGGAAAGAGACCAATTAGAAGGCCAAAGCAAAAGTATTGATAAAAGCAAGAAGGAATGAAAACTGTTAGGGATAGACCATTTTAGTGAAGCAGCACAAAACAGAGAGAAATGGAGGGACGTTTGTTGTTTTGCAGCGATGGGCCTCAATGACCTCTAAAGCAGTATAAAGAAGAAAAAATATATACCAAAAATAAGTTATTAATTACAAGTTTTTTGTAAAGATTTATTTAAAGAACTTTTTTTTTTTGTGTAACTAATAATTAATAAAAATTATCATAGAGTGTGACTGAATACGAAACACTTTTCGTTCTTAAATATTTCTCAAAAATGTTGTATACATATTTTTTATACATTTTATATTAATTACAAATGGACAGTGTTTCAGTTCGTTGCAAAAACAGCCAAGTCAAGTTAAGTAATCCAATTGATACAACTTCACAATAGTTAGTCTTTAAAAGATTATAATATGTTATCTTATCTTAATTTGCAGAGTTTTAAATTATTTTATTCAACTAAAACTTGATGCCCCCCCCACTCATCTTTAATGATGTGTTCCCCCCTCATTAACAATAAATAATAAATATATACTAATATGTAAAAAAAATTACTTCTTCTTCTTCATCTTCATCATCACAAACTATTGAATCATCTTCTTCGTCATTTAAATCTTCTTCTTCACTTTCATCTGAATCTGATTCATCGCTATAAAATAAAACACATATTATTTTTTCTTAATTCGACAACACACATTGATAAAAATTAACTTAAAGGCCATGCAAAAAATTTAGTTTTTTTTTACAACCTTAAGAAAGCATCATATTTATGATGCTTTCTTAATATATAAAAAAAAAATATATATATATAAAAAGAGTCATAGGCTGCTCTTATTTAAAACCTATTCAAATTTTTTTTCCTATAAAAAATGTCACCGGGTAATATTGTTATTTACTTTGTGTTGATGGACGCTTCAAATATTTCATCATCTGAATCACTGTCTTCCGAATCTTCGGTATTTAATAATGTGGAAGTTCCGCCACTACTGCTACCACTGCCATTTTGACCTTTACTGCTGCTAGGACAACACTCAGCAACACTACTTTTTGGTGCAGATTCTTCAGCTCCGTTTTTGTTTTCACTGGTTTCATCTTTAGAATTACCATTAACAACCTTAGTGGTATCTGAAGAATCTGCAACTTGGCTGCTTTCTTCCGATTCCTTCTCACTACTAATTCCATTGGTGACAACGGCATCTGTAGAATCTGCGGTAGCTGGAAATTAAATGCAAATTTTAGAACTAAAATATTAGAACCATTTTAATAAATATCATTGGCCTAATTTGCAATTGTCCTAACACCAGTAGTGTAATCATTGAGGTACACCTTGTGTGTCGAGACTTCCTACTTTTCTTCTATGTATGCTTATACTACTGGTACAACACTGACTGTCAAATGTTGGGCAAAGTATTAATTAAATGGATATGGTTATTACATTACAGATGAAAAAATTATTTAAAGTTATTATCAGTGATTTATTCATTCAAAAATAAACAATAATAACTTTATTTGAACCTATGAAATAATTGTTCTTATATTTTGTTTGATAATTAAAAAAATTAGAATTGGAAAATTGCAATTTTCATCTTTTAATTTTAACATGCTATGACTTTGTGAGAAATTGTTATGGAGTTTATATTTGGTGATCCCTTTTTGAAAAATAACTTCAGATACAAATTTCACTACTCTCCTTTCATACAACTTTATTAAAAAAAATTTAGGTTCAAAAATTGTTTTAAAAGGTGTATGTAAAATTTTAATATCTATGTTCAATACAAATTTCAATTAGATCAGATAATTTTTCAACATAATGTAGTTTTTTCGGGGGTAGTTATTTCCATTTTAAGGGTGAAGGAGTGAAGTTATTCAACTTTTACCCAATTAGACAAGTTTGGAACTGAAACATTACGCAGAAGATTGGACAACTGCAAGTTATGATGACCAAATAATAAATTATACCTGTAACATTAGTACTATCGGCAGAATCACTTTCTTTGTTCGAATCGTCCTCACCTACAATTATTTTAAGAAAAAAAATGTATTAGATGAAAAAAAATGATATTTACAAAGAACTTACTACTGGATTTTGGTCTAGGTCTTAGTGGGGCTTTTAAGAAAGGTGACGCTGGTAGTTTGGACGACCCAGGTTGATCTATAGCATTTTCAACATCCAATTTTGACATAATTTTATTCTTGTATTTCAATATTATGTCTTCAATTGGCATATCGGCTTCTTTGTACAATTCATTCAACTCTTCTCCTTCTTCTTCTTCCCCATCATTATCTAAAAAATTGTTATCAAGAATGATTAATACATTATACTGAGATTCCAACAATATTTATTGTTACATTAAAATATGTTAACATAAGAAAACTGTTAATGAAAAAAAAACATAACTCTTTTTATAAGATTAAAGAAATTGATAAAATTAAAAAAAAAAAAATTAATTATTTATAAAATCAGTTCATTGTTACCATCTTCTTCGGTTTGATTGTTTTCTTCTCGGATGGCATTTAACGTTTCGACTACGGATGGTTCGATTAGGCTGTCATCGAATTCCAAATAAGCTTTGATCAAAGCTTTTTCATATTCTCCTTTCTCGAACCATTCGTTTTTAATAAGACCGGGCAATTTGTCCGCTGCGTACTGGGCAACTTCTGCACCGCCATGACCATCGAACACGGCAAAGAGTGATATGTTTTTATCAAAGTCTAGCAGGCAACAATGTGCGTCCTGTAAAATTCCACAAGCAATTATTTTAAACATCAATTAGATATTAAAATTAGGAAATGGTTGAAGATGGCAGCGCAATTCTAGTATAAGTAAAATTTTTACTGCGGTTTTAAATAATATTAAATTTAAGTCCAAAAATGGCTCTAACTTAGATTTTGCTTTATACCAGTTTTTTTTCTGCCAAAAAATTTGTTTAAGAAAACAACTGGGCACAAATGCACTTTACCAGATCTCTTTAGCCATCATGTAGTATTTTTACGCTGGTTCCAAATCTGAAATTTACGGACTTCTCAAGATCACAAGTTGTAGCTAGGTACTTTAACTGAGAATTACTGTTACACGAGAACCTGGTTCACCGTAGCAAGCTGTGGGAGTTGGTCACATCAGTGCTTCAATAGGGGTACATGCACTCGCTACTATAGTATAACCACTATTTTAAAGTACTCCTTACGCTTGATGGCTTTGAAAGCAGACTCGAGCCCTTATGAAGGCTCTTGGGACCTTCAGTGGACAAAAAAACCTTACCTAAAGGAAATAAATAAAGCTAACCTGTCACTGCTCTGTAAGCGGTAACCAACGTAACAGTCTAAATCGACCCAAACATAAAAAAAAAAAAAAGAAAGGACAAAAATTAGAGATCAACACAGGTCACAGAACATAAATCATTATAATATAATTACTATATTGTGTTATCAAACAAACTGCTGTGTTTTTCTATGTGATTCAAGCAGCACACGCGCTGTGGGCATTGCTAGCGACTCACACAACAACTAATATTCTCAAATTTCAACTATATATAAATCTTGAACAAGAGGAGCCAGCGGATATCGGATGGAAAAACACGGCAAGATGGAAAAAAAAGAAAAGTGCATTTGCTCCCAAAATTAATTTTCTGTTAAAAATAACAGCTTATAACTCGAAAAATACATTGGGAAAACGTCAAAACGCGTCGTTTTGCCTAGGAATCGTCAATGTTATACTTGAATGGTACGTATCGGGAGTAACAATTTTGAAAAGTGGACCGCTGTCACATTTGGAGGGAAAAACGCCGGTCGGTTTTTTTTGTTTACAAAATATTACCTCTTGACTCTCGCGCCATCCTTGCATGGAACTGGCGCCGCACGCCAACACGCCGTTTTCAAAGTCCTTGGACTCCTTGTCGGTTTTTGGTTTGCTCAAATAAGTCCCCATTTCTGACACCTAGATGATGGCGTTCACCCTGTAACTGCAACACGAGTTCGGATGGATATATTTCGACGGTGCGACGGGAGGTAAACAAAAGTATATAATGGCAACGGCGCGAATTCACGTCAAAAACAATAAAAACAGCAGATACGATTTGCGGTGCGGTGTCATTTATTTGACGCAATGCAAATCTAAACTAGAAAATAATAAAAACAAAATATCAACGACAAACCAGCACGCGAACCGACATGGACGGCGGCATCAATTATTATTTAACAATAAGAATCGAGAAAAACCCGTCGGACGCGGCTCCGCGCAATTGGTGGCGGCGGCGAATAAAAAAATTGACAATAAAATTATATATTCGACCGTGCAGTGTTACCAACTTGCGGCAACGTCGTCCGTTTGCCAAAGAGATTCGCGATGGTCTCGTTGCCGTAAATCCCTTTACCAACACTGACCACTGACCACCATTACAAACTTGAATTTTCTTTACATTACAAATGTTATCGATTATTTGGTATAATGGGTATTATATTAGTATTTAGTAGTGTACTTTCCATTTTCCATAAAATTATCTTGGTATAACAACTATAACTACACTTTTTGAAAGGGGCCAAGTGCCAACACAGTTTACCATGTTTTATTTAATTTGAAAATACAATTTAAATATTCAATATTCTTATACTTATTTAAGAGTATTAGAGTACCTACTTATTAAATTATTATTGTTATTATATTATACACTTTATATAAAATTATAAATAAATGTAGAATACACAACAACAGCTGTTACAATATGCAGTTCAGTTTAGCTGCCAATATTATAAATCATGTATTTCAGTACATTATATCAGTTTAGAATATATTTACATTTATATATTTTAATTAAGTATTTAGATACTATTTTATAATTAAATCTATATGTATTTTTTAAATACATAAGAGGCAAAAACATTAAAATTTGTAATAATTGAAGAGTGGAATCAATAAAGGCTTTAAGTGCCATTTTTTTCAGCCAAGTAGGATGTATGTTCCAATGCCAATGTAACACAATAAGGCAGAAATTTCCTCGTTGATTGGCACTTGCAGCTTTTTTTGATTCCACTCTTCAATTTAGTTAATTATAATAATCTAATCAATATTTTTTACTATACAATTATTATTCGAAAAGATATATATGACCAATGTCTAGTGGCTCAGCATGTCATTTCTTAATTGAAGTATTGGAAAAAGTTAATAGTTTAAAGAAGACTAAATATCAATGTAATTGATCGCAAATAATAGACAAATAACTTTTATAAATAGACTTTACAGGAAAAGAACAGTATTCGTTTTGTATTATGTCAAGTATTTGTAATTTTTTGAAAAGCATTTTAAAAATTGTTTATAGGAATGTATTTCTTTTAAATCTTTATTTAAAAATACTATTTTAAAATTATTTTTAATAGATTGCTATATATATTTGGAATAAGTACAAGCTGTGAAATATACTAAGTATGTAATTAAAAAATTAATTTTTTGTTTTTTTATCACTAATTCATTTTGTTCATATTTTAAATGGATCTTAATTTTTTAACATTATTGTAAATACTAATACAATTTGACTTTCAATCTTTTTTCATATTTTCCTAGGCGAGGAAATTTTACCAATAATAAAAAGGACAAGTAATGCACATATTTATTTCCTATAACATATAATTTTCAAATAAGTTTTTCAAATACACATAAAACATTATTGAAAATAATCTACAACATCTAAATAGTGATAGTTGTTTAGGCTACATAAAATATTAGAATATGAAAAAAAACTAAAAAGCATAAACAAATAATATTATACATAAAATCTTTTTTTAATATCTTAAATCAATTTAGCATACACCTTAACTAACAATAAAATTGCACAGCTATTGCAATAATTTGTTGTACTGTAATCGTAATACAAACAACAAAAGATAAAATAAAAAATATTAAATTTAAAAAAAAATTTGGCTTTTCAAAGATACTATTCGTAGTAAAAAAAATGTATATATATATTATGTAAAAATTACTAATAAGTAGGAATGGGTTTTTTGAGAACAGTTAGTAATACTTTTTTTCGTATAGATATTACTTTTACATGGAAATACAAACTATAAATAAACAAAATTTGTTCTCGTTTGTTTTTTCTGTTTTTTTTTTTTTTTAAATTGAAGAATGGTCCATAATATTTTTGATCAAGGACGGCGCAATTCTGAAAAACGACAAAACATTGTAAATTTAGTATTTATCTATACTTAACATAAGACGTAATATTATATTTTACAAATATTTAACCTCCAAGCACATACATGGTACATCGCTTTTAATACAGAAAAAACATGGGGGTGTAATCGCACCTCCATGTTATTAGTAGTACAATAGCTAACAAGATGCTTTAAGATGCAACTGCTTGGAAGTTAAAATAGAAATAGCTATAATATATATATTTCATCGTAGCTTGGTATAAATACGAAAAATAAACTCATTTATTCAAATTTTTTAAAGACCTTGAAAAAATACAAAGTATAGTTTAAACACATTTTTATTTGATAATATATTTTCTGAAAAATTCATCAAATAATTTGTTTGATTTAACTTTCATTATTATTTTTTTAATAACTACAAATAATCTACTTGTATACTTCTATTATAATACACAGCGTATTATAACTTTTTTTTAATTTTAAAAAATGTTTAAGTCGATTAATAAATATTTATTTTGATTTTGTTATTTGAACTTTTAATCACAAAAAAAAAAAAATGATTTATTATACATTTTAGCTTTAATGCGAAGCAGCGATACTATTTCTCATTTAAATTTGTTCAAATAAAAATTCAAAATTAATTTATTTTTGAAATGTTATAGTATATTTTATTTTTTTTTATAATTATTTTTATTTAAATAAAAACCAGATTTAGTAAAATCTACTTTATAATTTATGTGTTTTTGAATAAGTTATGAGAAGTAATTTTGGTTTCCTCAAGACAATTATTTTTCTAGCTTGTATTTCACCGGTTAATTGACACATTTTGAAATAAATGTGTTTAATTTAATAGACTTCAAGAATGTTATAAAAAATGTTATTGTTTATAAGAGTTTTTTTTTAATAGTTTATGTAAAATATTTTTTTAAATCTCTGTTTTGTTTTTTACATTTCCTTTTAACTGTCTCTTATATGTCACATACTTTTTGATCATGTGTTCGTAAATTGAAACTGGAATAATTGTTATGGTTATCTTTTCAGGAATGTTTGATATAATTTCTAGTATATGTTTGTCTTTCATGCCAACAACATTTTGTCCGTTGATTTCCAACAGCTGATGATCTGTAAGTACACCGTTTCGAGCAGCGGATGAATCTTTGACAATTGCGTTGATCTTGCCATTTTTGAATTGAAATCCCACTCTGCCAGCACGATCTTTGTACAAGTTAATAGATCGTTCCAAAGGTCTAGACAAAAATATCACGCTATAATAATAATAAAAATAATAAATACAGCCAACATTTTTTCCATACCTGTCTCGGACAATCACGTTAATGTCGTTCAGTGGACATTCTTTGAATATTTTGTTGACTTTGTCAACGCTCATACCGGCGACAAAGGTTTCATTAATTTGCAATACCTGGTCACCAAATCTTAATCCGCCTAACGCAGCAGGGCTGTCTTTGACCACGACGCTTACAAATATACCATTATTTATAGCTGACAATTTCAGTCCCACTTGGCCTTTAGCGTCTTTGCACAATACCAACTGAGGAAATCGTGGTTTATAGGCACATCAAAATAATTCGACCAGTAGGTATAAAAATATATAGCACTTTACCTTGCGAACCCCGTTTGTCACTTGAATAGAAGGACTTTGAAACGGTATAGCTACGGTGCCCATTTGAGCTATGCTGTCCAATTCCATTCCCGAAAAATCGTTCAGCAACGGGTATAGAGATTTCAACGACTGTTGATCCATAGCCGAAGGATGTGGCGGACATATAGCCAAATGGTATGGCGGCGGATTATCATTTTCTTGGATGGCGTTGAACTGGGCCTAAAATTAACCACACCGTCAATTAAACTATAAACAATTTAAACTATTCCTAGTAGATAACCATTGATTAATTTCAAAAAACTCATTATTGTTGTTGTGAACTAATTATTATTTTTTATTACTATAGTCATAGTTAATTTTGCAAAAACACTCACTTTGGCCAATTCGTTCAGTTTTAGTTCTTCCAAAGACGGATACAACGACATGATGTTCAAACAGACTAGTGTAATATGAAATATTTGTTATAACTTGAACGGATTACGATCGATTCTTAATTCACAAAATAAAACAATAGTAGCAGTAATAATAATGGACGACAATTATTATTCTAATGTATTAAAAGTTCAAATTGATAAGGTATTTTGATCAGTAGTTATCAGTAACAATATTTATGAGCCACTAAACTCGGTAATGATAAACGTATGGGTTTTTTTATCTGTAGACGGTGACTCACGTCCAGTCACCTTAGTCACCAGATTAGAAAATTAAATTGATGTAAAACCGGACTGATGCGATTTACCGGTCAAACAAGAGTAATGATACCTATCCGTTTTCAATTTTTATCAGTTTAGCAATCAATCAATAATTCTTTGTGCCAACTAGTTTTTGGAAGATGACATGTCGAAAGCACGATAAACTTTGTTGTGCTTCTTCTGTAAGCATTTTATGACTTATGAGGTCCGCAATTTCTTTAAGTTGCTTTATCAAGAAATAAATCACCTAAACCGACACGATTGCAATATTGTCTCTAATAATTGGACATAAACCAATATGTTTTTTTAAAAATAATTAAACACTTAACGCGATATAATTATACTCAGGATTCTTTTGATCAACTTTTTGACATTTCTTTATGAAAGACGATGACGTATCCCTATGGAAATTTATCAACTTTAGGCCGTTGCACAGGTGACCATAATTTATCCAGTTTTGTATGCAAGTTATTATATCCTAACATTTATTTGATTATTTTTATGACACAGGAAAGTTGACCAATGTTTGGTTAAAATATAGTAAAAGATGCAATCATCTAGCTAGTGCCAGAAAACTGGTGAGAACAATGACTTGTGGCCAACCTACTTATGATTCTCATCCCCATTTATTGTGTGAAGGCGAAGTAAGTGTAGAATTGATTAGCGTAATTATTTTTTCACACATTAGATATGTTTTTTTCTCTACCCAAAATTATCTGTAATAATAATAATGTTTTAAGTAAAATGTGTGTTATTATTTTTAAAATAAGATTAAAAAAAATACACTATACAGATAAGTGATTAAAAACGTCTCTGTGTTGTGACATGAGGTCCCTAGTATTTTGCCTACTAGCATAACAATAATTCCTAAAATTCAAATAGTTATAACTTTTAAAGTAGATTTCTGATGTGTAATCATTTGTAGAAAGCATTATAATTCAGTAAATAAAAAGTGAATTCATACCAAAAACTCATAAATCTAGTAACATATATAATTAAAAATAAAATATTTAATGCAAGTTTTTTTTTACAAACAGTAATTTTGTATACACACATTTTTTTTTTTTGCAGCTTGTTTCTGGAATAAAAAGGGAAGAATTTTTAGTCAGGCGACGAAAACTAATGAAGTCTGTGACAAGCACTAGAAGTGATTATTATCATATTATCGTAATACCATCAGCTGTTAGAAAATACATGTCCGATCATATCCCATATCCATTTCGTCAAAATTCGGATTTTCTTTATTTAAGCGGTTGTCAAGAAACAGATTGCGCATTAGTATTATTTGGTAATTCCGATGAAAATTTTTCTTCAACTCTATTTTTGAAACCGCATGACCCACAATTTGAGTTGTGGAATGGACCTAGTACAAGTAAGTTAATATTATTTAAATTTAAATTTTTTCAAAATTATTTTATGGTTTTTGTTATAAGTAGAAATGTATTTTAGGAGCTGATCAAGCACCTCATATATTCGGTGTGGATGACGGCAAAGTTTTGCCACAACTATCGGAATTCCTAACAGATAAAATCGGAACTCAAAAAAAATGTGTGCTATGGTACAATCAGAAACAAAAAGTTCAAAATTTTGTTGATAAAACTGTAAACAATGCGGCTGCCGAAAGTAAAATTTATGTAAGTTAAATATTTCGGAGTATTATAATGTATAATAAATTTGATTTTTTAATGAATAGATTATACAGTTTTTTTAGTTGTTCTCAGTCTAATGCATTTATATTTAATACTGTAGATTGACGACACTTTAGACAATCATTGTCATGAATTACGTTTGTATAAATCACCTGCGGAACAAACACTGATGCGTGAGAGTTGTCAAATAGCGTCCAAAGCATTTATTAGCGCTATGGCTTCTACAAAACCCGGGTCGACGGAACATGAGGTGTACGCTAGGTTAGACTTTGAATGTCGAATGGGAGGAGCCGAATATCTCGCCTATCCACCTGTGGTTGCTTGCGGCAACAATGCCATTACATTGCATTATATCGATAACAAACAAAAAATTTTAGATGGAGAATTGATTCTGGTAGATGCGGGTATAAAAAAAATATTGTGTTTTGTTTTTATTTTTATAATATTATTTGATGATTAATTGTACAATGTTCCGTTATTAATTGAAAATATTTTAATAAGGTTGCGAATATCATGGCTACTCGAGTGACATATCCCGTACGTGGCCAGCAAATGGAAAGTTTTCTGATGCTCAGAAAACATTGTACGAAGCCACTTTGACTGTACAAAAAGAATTGATCGACATGTGTCAAGCATATCCTTCGTTGGACGCTTTATACGAAGCTATGTGTTTTAAACTAGGACGAGTGCTATCTGATGCACACATATTTAAAAAGAATACCAAAGAATCTAAAGACTTGTCAATGGTAACTTATGATTATCTTTTCTTGAATAATTTCAACACCTTGAATTATTTGGCTTTATTTTTTACTGTTTTTGACCTGTCCGTTTACGTTTTCACGCAGATTTGGGCAACATTTTATTAATAATACATTTTTTTTTTTTTTGATAAATAATATTACTTGTAACTTGATAAATAATAGCTAATCTGTTTATTTACTATTTATAAAAAACATTAACATCTTAGTCAATTTGAAATACATTTTCATAAATAATTAGTATTTTTCTGAAATAACTTAATATTTTTAAACAAAAACTAACTTAAGTAACTTTTAAAACAGAAGACATTGTTCATTTTAAATATTTTAAAACTGTATTTATTATTTATAAATGTGTTTAAAATCGCTTCATTCATTCAAAAAATTAAATCAATAACCATAATGTTAATGAATTTTTATGAACCATTTTTATTTCATTCGGCAAGACTGTAATCTCAAAGTCAAACAATAATAATAAATAACAAAAAAAAAATGTATTTGAAATACATAAATAAATTGTTTGATCGGTTAATAAATAAAAAATAATTCGAAACAAAATAACGATTAGCAAGTAATTTTGTCTAAAGACAGGTATTTATCGTAACTGGATGTAGAATAATAGACTCTTATAACAACGTTTTCAATTGGTTCGTTTAACATATTTTTTTAAATATTGTATAAATATTAAGTTTTTGTATTTTCAGTTATCTCGAACATTATGCCCTCACCACGTGAGTCATTATTTAGGCATGGACGTGCACGATATCGGCACTATTAAAAAAATATCAAGGCTGAATCCGGGTTTATTTTCACTATAGAACCGGGTGAGTAGTTTTTATTGTAAATTAAAATTGGTTTTCAAATGAATTTGTTTGTTAACTTTTTTTTGCAATTTTCGATTTTTTAAGGTGTTTATATTAATCAAAACAACAATTTGGTACACGACGAATTTTTGGGCCTTGGTATACGAATTGAAGACGATATATTAGTGACGGACAAAGGCATTGAAGTGTTGAGTGCAAACTGTCCCAAAGAAATAGCAGATATTGAACGAATTATGATGGGTAAAATTGAGTGATTATTGATTTAGTAATATTAGTTAAATTGTTTTCGACCATGTCAAAATAATTTAATTAGTAAGTTTATTTAAAATTTTTAATATTGTTATTTTATGAAATTGATCACGAATTCTTATTGAAATTTGTTGGCTGTGCTCTTGTTACTAACAGTACATAATTATGTTTAACGATTTTTTTTGTTTTTTTAATAAATGTTATTAATAAACTTGTTGTTTGTGCATAAGTGTTTGATACTTGTTTTTTTTTTAATTATGACGTATTAAATGAATCTCTTTATTATTTTTACTACATATTATCATCATTGCCGCGAAAAAACCTCCTATGTTTGTGCCTATTTTACGATAGTGAGGTTTTGGTATCCCTGGATACAGAAAAAATAAGCTATCGTATGATGAAATCTCCAACGTGCTATCTCCATTGTAGAATAAATGAAAAATAAAACCTAAGTATTACTTACTATAAATCGTTTTAGTGTTTCCTGAACACTTGGGTTTTAGCACATAGGAGGGTTTTTCACGGCAATGACGATATGTGTCTTGTATCATTTCTACATTTGGAGTCTACGCATAGTGACAGTATGAGGTTCATTGTCCCACAACTGATGTGCTGTAACTCAAAATTGTAAATACAAACTGTGCAAACGGTCCAGATGTTAAAGCCTTATAAATACAGAAAAAACTGAATTTAATAAACGAATAGAAAAAAATACAGTTTTCCAATTTTTATTCTTTTGTTTTTTAAATAACGTTTTTATAAAATATTTTTAATTTTTAATTTGTATACAGAATAACTACATTGTGTATTTTTGAAGTTAATGGGATAATTCTCGTAAACAAATTTAAATGTATATTTGGTTTTTATAGAAAAAAATCAATAACAATTGCCTTTAGTTTAATTGTCCAGTACATTAATATATAATAGTTAAAAGCCTTAGTCAAATGTGAAGACTTTTGATTTTACATATTTCTTCAACTAATGTATAAATGTATATATATTTTTATTATACGTGTATGTTTTAAAAATTAAAGACTCCAAAACATGAATCAGTTTTTCGCGAATGATATATTTAATTATCTTCGGGAGCTTAAAAAAGGTATCGTTTTTACAATTATTAAAAGGTTTACTCTTTTCCCTTCGAAATCGAGTAAAACCCACAAATAATTTACATATTTTTCAACTTGAAATTACGGCGCGCTAAACCTTTTTTAAAACTGGAGTAGGATTTCACAGCCGTTAGCAGCAGTAAGCCCATACTTGCTTTCTGCAGTAATGGATGAACTTACAAGGTATATCTGAATGGCGTTATGCAGAAAGCAATTATCCATCAAAGTTGTGAAAAACGAGAGTTTAGTAGAACGAGATAGACAATTTTAGATTACTTATTTTACAAAATACAACCAAACCAACATTAAAGTGCAGCGCTATCTATCATTGTTTTAAAATTATACCCAAAAAGTACATTGTGGGATGGTTGCTTTCTGCATAACGCCATTCAATTAATACTTTTAATATAAATAAATAACAATTGTAACGTAAGTAATAACAAATATTATTATTTTAAGCACATAGCTGGTACATGTTATAATATTCCTCAATTGTTATACAGGGTGAATGTCTTATCATGGGCCAGACAATATCTTACTGAGTTTAATACATAATTTAATTTTTTTTTTCATAGTGTTTTTATATAATGTGATCTCAATTTTCCAAAAATTATTATGTTTCTACCCCCTCCCAAACTAGCCTTTTTAATAGCAACGTTTGAAACTTAAATGGTAACGTATGTATTTTTAAACTTATTAAATTAAGAATATTCTACTAAAAATGTTGACTGGTCGATAACCAGTTTTGGATAACTACTTTTAAAGTTATTGAAGTTTCAAGCTTAGGGCAGGAGGGGGAAGAAACATAATCATTTGTGGAAAATTGAGATCACATTATATGAACAATACTATGAAAAAAAAAATTAATTATTAATTAAACCCAGTGAGATAATGAGTGGCCCATGATAAAGAAATCACCTATATGTATAGATATCATCTAAAATCGATTTACCGATTTATCAATTGACTTAACTAGGTACCATGTAAGTATACAAATAAGAACATTTATATACATCCATTGTAGTACCATTAGGTTGCCTATAAGCTTTGCAAAATATTTTCCCTCAATGTCAAATCTACCTACACATACTTTTTTATAAATATAAATTAGGTTTACACAAAACCAGCAAACAATTAGACGATAGTACATCCTTGGGAATAATAATTAACATCATGAGTAAACAATTGCGGGGTGAGCAGCGGGAGCAATACAGTTAGATTCTTCGTAATGAAATTCCATAACATAAAAAACAAAAATCATTTATTACGATTATATAAAAAATAAATATTATATTGAAACAATGACAATAGTATCCTTGACCTTGTCGATAAAAAAAAATGTACATAAATTAGGTTAATGGTGGTCTTGTCTTAGAAAAAATGAATCACCCGAGAAAACAGGTGTTAATTATGTAAACATCTAAGGTACGATAAGTTTTTAAAATAATATTACATAGCACTTATTCCCTTCTCAAAATCGAGAAAATTTTGGGGAAAAGCGTGGTGTAGATTTGGCCATTCATACAATTTATATAGTTAAAATATAAATATAAAAATAGGTTTGTACATAAAAACTTAAGGACAGGTACGGACATTTATGCAGTTCGATCAATACAAATAATTACAAACTAAGTAATGTACTAGAAAGCACCAACGGAGTTCCTCAAGGCACTGTGCTATCTTCTATCTTATACATATCATACCTATCGGCATTAGGCAATCTAAATACACATGGTAAACTATTCTCATAATATACAGATGACACGGCATTAATTATATCCGAAACAAATTGGGCCAATACGCCGTCTGATATGTGTTTAATAAATGGATGGTTTCTTAAACACGATTTAAGACTAAATTTCAATAAAACAAAATGTGTAGCTTTTACGCAAAGCAAAAGAACTCGGCCACATTTTTACGAAATAAAAATACACAAACTAAACTGCAAGTCTAAAATTTATTTATGTGATGTAATTAAAAAAACTGAGAATATTTTGGTGTCACATTAGAAAACGCCCCAAATGGAAAACCACCCAAACAGAATACTCACATAACAAACCTAATTAATAAAATGCGAAAATTAAACTATTCTTATATAAATGCTAGGAAAGTAGTCGATAAATCAATGTTAGGTACATATGATTTATTTTGCCATGATTCAATGAATTCTCCAATACGGTGTTACAGCTTGGGGTGGTGTAGGAATAGTTGCAAGTAATAACCTACTAATAGCGCAAAGAAGTATTATAAAAATAATTACAAAAAAAACCTAGACATTAGAGAATTTATTTAAAGACTTCAAGGTCCTTAATGTTCAACAATTATTGTTTTATCGAAACGCCCTCTATTATACTTATAAGATACATTTATTAGATTTTAAGCCAATAACCTAAGCTAATAATAATTGTTTTAAACTTGTTTTTACAAACCATTCGGCCTTTAATTAATATAAATTTGTTTTTATTTATATCTCTATTTATTTTTATATATCTGTGGTAGGGTGGCATAATGTATTATGTAAAATCAGTTTTTACTAATTTTCAGGATATTAAAAGCTAATTGACACTAACATTTTAAAATCGTTTTGTGTTTTCTAAAAATATTAAACATGTATTTGTTACATGATTAAGTCAGCAATTTAAATCTGTTATAAATATTTATGTTTGGACAGTAATAATTCAATATAGTGTGTTGGGAGGTGAAGTATAAAATAATTGATTAAATGTGACGTTTTTTGTCAACTTTTGCCATTCTACCGCGGATATTTATTATACTTAAATTATTCGGTGACGTCACGCCGTTATTATAACAATATTTTGCACGATATCGATGAGGTATTTCATTATAATATTCTATTATTATTAAACATCGTCATATTATTTTATTTTTTTCCGTCGCAGATGAACGACGATTTGCTCTGCACGTAGGGTATCGTTATTTCTTATGTATAGTAACAAATTATTTTTATTTGTTCTTTATTCATCCGACGGTTTGTCGTAAACACAGTAGCGTAATACTAATATTATATTATTTATTAATTAACGCGACAACGGGTTTGAACCGGTAGTTGACAAGAAAAAAATGTATTTATTAGATGAAAAACAAAATTATATATTTATAATTAATTAATAATTATTAATTATTATTATTCTTATACAATTATTCTGTTTGGCTTGGTACATTTATTTAATCCTCTTTCCCCTCGAATGGGTTGGTTCGCGACTACTTGTCGTTTTGGTGGTGGCAGTGAAACGCAACGCGGCGCCATGTCACATATTATTACCCATGTGTATTTTTTTCCATTACCATTAACAATAATATAACCATGTATAAATAATTTTTTTTTTTTAAATTAGGTATACATGTATTAATATTATTATTATTTTACTCACCGCGCTTCTCAATGACCCTATGGCGCCGCACAAAACCGGTGTGAGCGCGTGTACACCGCCCAAGTCGGGTTTCTGATACGGTACGCACCGCATGTCCTCGCTCGACTCGCTCTCGCCCAGTGCGTAGAATTCTTATTTTCAAATATAATTGTGACTTTTTTCCCAGTGTTTCTCTTTTGTTTTTTTTTGTTAAAATAAAAAAATCCATAGACAAAAAAAATTAAAATTCCACAATCTATTTGGTCGCGATAGTGCGTCCGCCCGTCTGTTAGTGTTATTACTTTGTTGGACGTTTTCGGTGCTGGTAACGTCAATCAGTTAAGTAAGTCTACAATTTTGAAACGACACCAAAAGGGGTGGTTTTTATTTATTTTTTTAACCACTAAAAAGCATTCGGGTTTCGCATAAAGGTCTCTTACACAACGCGTCCCGTGCCCCCAGTGACCGTTTATTCACGTGTGAGCTGTGTCATTGGTCATTTTACTAGAACATTCTTTTCTTTTAAATATTTATAATAATTAAGAACATAGTTTTTGAGATGAACTGGTTTAAAAATCACACCGTCGTAGGGGCTGTATTTTTCAAGATTGTCCCTGACAAGTTGGACAAATTGGACGCAAGGAATTGGAAAAATCAGAGGAGCTAATTTGAGTCAGTCATGTAAAATCGAAGTATATTATCCGATAGATCCGATATAATTTTCACACTCTTCCGTTCAATTAATAGTGCTAAAAATAAAATTATGCATTTTTTTAACAAAATGGTATGAAGTCTTTTAGCCATCCATGGACATAAAAATAATTCTCATAACCAATTACATATTATGTAAAGACTAAATTATTTAAACGTGCTAAGACACAAAGAAATAAATTGGCATTTATTTAAAGCACAAAGAGGTATACATATATAAATCGCTATTTATGTTTTCAAATTGTCACTCAAGAATTTAAACATAAGATTTAAGAATTTAAACATCATTTTTTAATTTAATTATTATTTTTGACTATTTCGAGTGTGAAATGTAATTTTCTCCTGTACTAAAAATGACTCTGCATAAACCAACATATGTATTTACTGACAATTTATATGAGTAATTGGAAAAAAAACAATTTGACCGAATATATATATGAACTGACTAAGTAGGTGTTCCTATTAAAAATAGACCGTAAAAAATAGAGATTGCTATTAATGATTATTATAATTGACTTGCTACGTTTTCTGTTGATTCTGTTTTTTACATAGTTGTTTTGTCAGACAGCTTACGATTCCGAGAGACTTTAATAGTTAAAATGATCAATATCTCTGCAAATAGATCTAGAAAAAATTGTTTATTACACATACAAATAGACAATAGTATATTGTTAATTGTTATTAAGTTAATTACCAGTAGGTAATACTTATAAATGGTTGAACTCAGAATAATAATAATACAAATTACACAAAAAAAGTTAATATAGTTAAATTTTGGCTGTATAAGTATGGAATTTAGTCATCTATGTCACCAATTGTGTAATACTTGGACTAATGACTATTAAAACGACCATTATCTCTAGTTCTTGTAATTCTTATAATTCTGGCTGTTTATCTAACTGTCCCAGCTTTCGTTTTTTTGGTTACGAATGTTGATACAAATCTGATTAAAATATTAGCTCAAGAACATATTGAATCCCTAGACAAACACTATTTTTTAACGTTAAACAATTTGGCGAAAACATTAAAATTTTTCACCCGGAACAGATTTTTCGGGAGAGAGTAAACTGATAAAATGTGTCACGATGGTCTTTAAAGTTTAAACCTAATCTAACCTAAACTGAAAAAGGGTTGATAAAACGCGTTGATAATATTTAGTTACAACCAATAGAAACAACCGATTTCACTTATGATGTCATGGTTTTTTTAGCCCAATTGTACTAATTATAATTTATAAATAGACTTAATTATAGATTTATTAAATTATACTTCAGAGCTATCGACGACAAAACAGCTGTCCATGTTAGCAGTCTCCAAGTTTAATAGGCAGCAGCAACTGAAGGAAATTTTTGCCTTGTGTATTTTTTAAAGAATAAATATGTATACTCTATTAACTTGATACATAACTCTGTATAATATTTCATAAATGTATATACGAACTATTGTGATTAAGGTAATTAGAGGAAAGAAACCCCCGGAAGAAATTAAAACAATAACACTATTAAATCCATTAAAGCGTTTACCAAGCTCATTAACAAATATAAACCAAAAGTTAGGCCAAATAAATCGCACAAAAAATATTTGGACGATAAAATCACTTTCAAAGAAACACTTCGATGGGTCATAAAAACTGTCATAAAACTATCTACATAAAATCGGCGATAAAAAATATCGGTAAATCTTCTCTCGGTGGGATTTTGGCGCGTACGCACCGCGAGTGGGTAGGTCGTTTTCGCCGGACTCTGTGATGAACTTATCTCGAGTTAACCTTAATATACCACAGTAAAATGATAATAATATTGTAGCGGGACTTCATTACAACTGTTTTGACTGCACCCTGGAAGTATGCCGCGCTCAGCTGACGTCGGTTCGCGCGGTTACGGCGACGGCTATAATGGTAGACAATCAATGACACCCGAAACAATAGCGTAATCCGTGTGAAGGGTACTTAACACTGGGCGGTCGACGGAACGACGGCTACCGTGTGTATTTTATATTATGTTAATTGATTCGTTTCGGACGGTTGACGTGACCCCGTGTTTGTTCTTATGTAGTCGATTATTTATTTTGTTTCGTTGACATCTCCTCGGAGCGACGGGTCGTTTGTTTAGCCAAATTTGTATTATCCGAGTGGATATGTTCTAGAGGAACTGCGCCGAAGAGCCGGGACACAGCCCATGTGTGCAAAAAGAGCGAGCCAGGATTACACATATACCTACACGGCGAATCCACGACGCATTACAACAATAATGATTATTGTTTAATACCTTCCAAGTCCTTGGTATTTATACTCAGGTCGACCCGCGTACGCGATGTTCGACCGGCAATACTAATCATATTATTCATACCTGTTATATAACGTTATAGTATTGTTATAGCAGCATAGCTACTTGCGCAGGCGACGAGTAAGCGGTTCACCGAGGTACCCGATAAAAAAAAATGTATATATATAAATATATATATGAAGACGTTATAAATATCATACACATACAAAATAAAGGTATATAATATTGTATTATGGCCGAAACGGTCGCGCGCCATTCCTTGAACTAAATTTTATACACATTACACATGTTTCGCCGATTAAGTATACGCACAATTAAAACACGAATAATAATTTTTAAAAACAATAATATTATTATAATAATACAACGTGTAATTATTATCACTTGAGCGTATGTGTTTTGGCCCCGTTACATCGCCTACCAACGCAAGTGCGCGGCTCATTGTAGGTATTATTATATTATATTATTATAACGGCGATGGTGTGTGGATATAAACGATCTAATTAAAAGCCGCACGCTTAATGATAAACAGTATAGGTACGCTCATCGGAGGCGCAGTGTCGGACTTTGTCGTTTTGAAACTCATCGACATTTCCCCACCCTCTTCCCCTACGAACCCGTCTTCCGGGCAGTAGTATTGTACCCTTTTTCGATAACGCTGCGTTTTTGTCTTTTGCAGAGAGCTTCGGCGACGACGATAAAAATTACTGAATGGAGTGCGAGACATACGCTTAAGAACAGGCGGAAAGAAATTGGAAAACAAGAAGAAAACCCACGTAGGATAACATGACCGAAAGGTGGACCGAAGAAGAGCTGGACGCGTTCCTTTTGGGCAACGGACAGAGGGCGCCGCCCGGACTGGTCAGACAGAACCGACGGCTATCCGGTAAGTGTTCACATTAACACAGACTTAAACGCCGTGCAGACATAATAACAACAATATAATGTGTCGAAAATTGCAAGATCCTCCTTCCGGGAGCCGAAGTAGTTTATTCCGAGTAGTCCAAGTGTAAGCTTGGTAGGTGCTCAAAGAATGAAATACTAATGACTAATGAGTTTTTGCGTTGTAACAGCAAAAGCTTCAACCAAACAACATAATTCGTGTACATTTTAATAGTTACAAACTGTATCTTTATATAAAAATCAGAACAACCGAATAGACTTTAATAGTCGGGCCTATGTTCGCCGTGTAGAAGGTTCGATTTCTCGTCAGCTACGCGACAATACAACTTTCTGGTTTTTAACCTTATGCATAGCCGTTTGAAAACGTCTGCTCGGCCTGGAAATAAATGAAGTTATAATTGAAGTAATTTTAAAAAAAAAATCATAAGTATAAAATATCGTGTTACTATTTTTGCAAGACGCCTTCAGCGATCCACTTTTCCGAAATTGTAGAACTTTATGATTTACAATGCAACCGTCTCTCTGCATTTCGCTTTTCTGATTTAGATCAACTGCTCGAACATTTATTCAAAATAAAACCACAACCGCAAAGCTAAGATGTGATACCTATTACATTACATTGTCGCTGTAATCGTGGAATTGGATATTATGTGTTAGGTCACGGTTGAATGAATTCTTCTCCGCACTCTTCTGTTGTTGTTATAAGTACAGAGTACTTTTTATTTATATGCTGACAGTCTGACACTATTAACTTTCCCATAGCTACATGAATTTTGTTTACGTTTTTCCAAGTGCGATTCCCAGTAATAAAACCTTGACGGGACTACTTAAAAAAAAACTGCAAAACCTATAACCTTATTTGACTATTGTATACTATTTATATTTGTTTACTACCTGTACACTAACCTTGAGAATTAGTAAATTTGACAAAGTAGGTAACCAATTGTTTACTCTTATGCGAAGCGTTTTTTTTTTTTTTATTAACGATACCAAGCTGAGATGGGTTTAGGGGGCTACTTTTAAGTGAATTGAGTAACAGTTATTATTTTAAGTTGTTTTTATAAATTAGGGGAGACAAATTATCGACTCGAACTGTATTATGTGAATTGCAGTAATTAATTACTATACATTATGTCAGAGCTAGTCGCGTTTGATATAGATGCAGTCATGATCCAAAACGATTTTTTCAAATTTCTTACTATATGTGTATATTATGTATTTTTTTCAATATGTATATTTTTTCCAGAACTATGGTTCATTCGGGTATTGTTATCACTAGAAACGAATTGCCGGGAATAATATATTTTGATTTTTGTCACCGCATCGATGACGGACGACGGTCGTGTTGCAACCGCTTTAACTGTTAATTGCAAACCTGACGTGCATACAATATAATACAGGATAACATAGTATATTATTTTGTATTTTTATTTAAATGATTTCGATCATGCGCTTACTGCGTAACTCGTGCGCTAAGATATTGGGCAAATGCCATTTGAACTCTGCGCTGTTTCGATACATCAGGAAATTCATAGTAAATGGTTGATTTTTTTTAATTGCGATTCTAGTTTTTTACCCGATCGACCACTCGTTGCTTAGGAATGTGCTCATTAACTCGCACCTCCCGCAAACGGATAGAGAGTAGACCGCTTACCACTATACTTTACCACCATAGGTAATACACGGTTAATGCACAACGTCTTGCATAATAATATTTTTTCATGTAGGTTTTATATTATTAAAAAAAAAAAAAAAAATAGTAATAATAAACAAAACGTGCGTTGCAAGACAACGAGACTGTCGTCATTTGGGAATTCGGCATGAGTATCTCTTGGAAATTCGGCTTGTATATATGTCAAACGGTAATAGGTGTTTAGTAACTATTCTACTACTATGTGGTGAGCACATCTGCACTTGATTATGATGCTATAAAACAATAATTTTAAAACATTGTATTCGTTTGAGAATGTCACAACGTATTAAACCAACCGTCCCTTCTTCTTTCTCCTACTATTCCTACGCATAGTACCGCGTGGATTTAATAATGTGATCGTTTTTTCGAGCGTTTGGTTAATAATTATTATTATATTTGTCTGCCGGCTAAACCGGTTTATATGCTGTAAGTAGTTTGGGAAAATTACGGCTAATCATGTTTTAAGTTTTATTAAACACATTTATAACAACAATATTTAGCACGTGGGTGGGTCGACAGTAAAATATTGCCTTTGAATAGAAAGTGCGTGTACTATATATACATAGCTACTGTCAAGCCTGAGTATAAATCTACTGTCAAATAACTGTTGTATATTATACAATATACGTCGTGGAATCAGTGTTTTTGAGATTACTTACTTACACCTCAATCTTGTCTCTCTCGTTTTTCCTGTCATTGGCGCAACTCCTGAACCTCTTCTTATGTACTCATTCCTAATTCTGTTCGACTAAGCCACTCTGTACGTCCATCACAACGTTCCATTTTAGTTACTCCAATTTTCCTTTAATTTCTCTAATTTAACCGTTAAACTCACATGTATCGCATTTCTATCAGTCAACACCTCTGTTGAATCTTTTTAGCACATCCAACAACAATTTATTTTATTCGCCCATCTTCATAAATTCCTCCATACTTTCTTCATACATTATCCCGATTACAAAAGTATTGAATGTACAAATGATGTGTCTTCCTTTTCATTTTGTTCCTGAATCTACTGCAACTCTTTTTATCGCTAACCAATGACTGTTTATACATTGATTTAGATATAAGTTTTCTCAATAATTAATTGTTTTTGTAAAATCTTTGTACACCGGACAAATTTGGAAATATTTCAAATCGGCCAGCAACCTTGGGCATAAATCGAAAATCATTTTAAGACCATTACCTCACAGAATATACGATTATACTGTTGTATAAGACTATTAAAATAAATATACATAACATAGACTGCGGCTGTACAGTCACACGGAGCAAATGACTTGTGTTTTCACCAAAAAACACACAAATGTTGTTCAAAATTACATCACGTGTGTCTGAAACTAGAATCGGTGTCTCCACGCCAAGGTGTCTTGACTTGCGTCTCTTAACACTCGGTCATGGCAAATTAAAGTTAGAATTTTTTTGTATTTTATTTGGGACTTTTGAATTTTGTAAGCAGATAATTCTAACAGCACTAAAAACCAGTATTTTTAAAACTTTTTTTTTTTTTCAAAACCCTCAAATACAAATGATTTTGAACTAAATTAAAAATGGCCCGTTTTATATAAACTGTATCTATACAGAGGTTGAGTAAGTTTGGAGTTTACAATAAGACACTAGTTTTTGGTTAATTTTACTAATAAAAATACCTATAAGATAGAATATTATAGTTATACATTAATGTAGTCCTTAAACGGGTTTTTCGAGAATCGTGTTATGTTAGAGTAAAATCAGTTTTAAATGATTAAAAAATAAATACTATGATTTGTTGAGATTCTTATTTGATTACATTCTTTTCCTGTTTGTGCAAAAACGTTTAGCATAGATGCATTTATGACCCAATACGATTTTTCTAAATTTATTCCTATGAATGTATTTTTGTCAAGTACACAACAACTACGGCGAAGTCAGATTTTATCGGTTGACCTTACTATTTTTGTTCTTTACAAAAACTCCATATATTTCATTTAAAAAAAAAAAAATAGTAAAATCAACTTTTTTATTTTCAACGGAATAATTACAATGGTAAGTGCGTAATATCAAATGTTATGTTTAAATTATGACAAACAACTTTTTTTTTGACGCAATATCTTTGTTTTTCATTCAAACGAAGTGATGAAAAAAAAATACTTAAAAATGTTGAGTATTTTTATTTTATTTATTTGGTACCAATTTGTAGGGATCCAGTATGAAGACAGAAAGAACGACTAACCTAAACGTGTATTAAATAGACTCTTTTAGCATATCAGAAAATATTACATTCTTGTTGTGACAAGATTTAACAAAAGTGTCACTGGCGATAACGGATAACTTGCATTTGCTTACTTTAACAAACCTAATAAATCAGGCCTTTGTTGTAAAAGTCGTGTTACGGCTCTTGTATCATAAATTTCTATTGCAACAATTATTACATTTCCTTTTTAATTATATACTTGTATTTGCGTTTGCTGTCGTTTTGCCTCCTTTAGGGTAAGGAAACATTTTTTTTTTTAATTTTATAATAGCTACACTATACATAGGTTATGGATAGTTAAGAAAACGCACGATACGATATCCTACATAATATTATTAAGATTGTTGCGAACAAAGTAAAAGAATTTTTCTCCAAGGTTAAGCGCGCGATTTATGGGTGTGTGTTACGACAGATAAAATATGATAATGTTCTGAAAAATTGCATTTAATTCGGAGTCGGTACTGTATATTGGCCATGAATGGCCTAAGAATATTATCATTATGGTTTTGTGAGAAAACTCGAACGGAACTGAGCGGGTTTAAAGCCTAGGAATACCGCACGGTTTATACAATTATATTATTATATTATGTTTTAATATGGTACACTGTAAATAAAAACAGCTTAAGTAAGCGCACGCGCAGCGGTGGTGACTATTACACTCGAGAAGATAGGCACATGTAAAAAATTAAAATATAAAACGCAAAAAAAACAAATCGACACCGCAAATTCCGCAGGATGACCTTAATCTGTTCGGCGGCTGTGGTTAAAGTCTCTATAATAAAGTTGTAAAATCTCACCGCACCGGCAAGCGTACTATTATAATAATATGGTAAATAGGAAGTAACACGTAGTATGTACTTTTTCGAGTAAATTAGTACCAATAACAATAGAGACAATACGCGATTATTACGATTGTTTGCATTGTTAATATTCAATATCGACGGTTGGGTGACGATAAATACTTAATATTATAATAATAAAAATTTTGTTTCCAGGACGTCATTGGACACCGTCCGTGTAGGACGCGGTTGAAATAATATAATACTCATTTTTTATA